AGAGAGAGACAGAGACAGGGAGACAGAGAGAGAGAGAAAACACACACAAAAAGAGTCAGAGAGAGAATAAGACGGCGGAGCTAACTCCTTGGCAGACTCCAGTCCAGATGTGGAAGTTGTGTGTATTATGTGTCTGCCTGTGTGTAAGTATGTGTGCACGATATCCTTTTCATTATGAATAATGCGTAATAGGTCCATAGCATGAATATGTAGCGTCTGTGTGCCTGCTGGGACTTGTCATTCAAATGTAAAAATGTTAATGTAAAAAAATTAGGCCCCAAAGTCATCTTCCCCAACATATTTTTTCAAGTATGAGTCCTTAAATAAAAACAGGTGGGGCTTATAATGATACTTGCTTAAACCACATGAACTGAATAGTTGGTAAATAATTAGAGGTCAGTGACATCCAATCTGAGTACAAACTTGACATTTTTTAATTGTGGATCACATCAAAGTAGCGTCCCAATGGAAGCCAATATCTGCAAGGAAAAGAAAAAAAAGATGAAAAATTTGTAATGATAAAAATCGTATGTAAAGTAGTATGTAAAACATCTGAGGTACTATTTTAAAACTTTTCGGGTCTCAAAGTTTTTACTTACTAAGTTAAAATTTTTACACTTTTCATGATAAAAAGAATAAAAACATTCAAGCAATGTACAATTTTGACTTTGTATCACTGTACTGTCTCATACATAATCTCTTGACATATTTTTTACTTATTAAAGTGAGACTATGTCATTTTTTGAAGATTACAAATTGAAAGTTGAATTTGAATTATGCAATTTAATATTTCCTAATCTTGGCAAACTTTTGGTAAATATCACCCTTTTTTCTCTTGTGTTTTAGAAATAGAATTATTTTTTAATTGTGACTTGTAGCCACAATGGCAGCTGTTTAACACAAGTTATACATATATTAAACAGGTCACTCAAAGGACCAGTGTGTAAGATTTTGTGGCATCTAGCGTTGAGAAACAACTAACTGACACCTCTGGGCTCAACCGAGCCACTATGGTGGCTGCAAAACCTCGCCAACACTGCTAAAGGTCGTATCTATAGCCAGTGTTTGGTTTGTCCAAACCATTCTGGGCTACTGTAGGAACACGGTGGTTCAATGTGGCAGACTCTGTAAAAGAGGATCAAAAAACTCCCACAATGATTGTTATTTTTAAATGATTTAACACGAATGAAATCATACCTCCATTTCTGCCAATAGTTCATCCTCATTGTTACACACTGGAACTTTTAAGGAGAGCTTATTAAGTAATAATAATATGGGATTAAGTCATAAAGTCAACAAACTGACTCAGTAATGTCATTACTACATTTACATTTACATTACTACATTAGCCACTATAAGCTGCTGGTCATACTGGACCAAGCAGAGAAATGTGTGTTTTCCTTTTTCAGAAGTTACATAGTCTTGCTGTAAAAGTCAAATATTTAACTTATTATCTCATAATTTTGACTTTGTAAGTCAATTTGTATCTTGTAATCTTAGTGAACATTTTTATCATGACTACATTTTCCTGGCAGTAATGGGCTTCCATTGTTTCCAGACGTTTGTTTTTTAGCAAAGAAACATCTTAAACACCTTTCATGATTTGATTTATAGAGCTGCCTAGTAGAGGTCTTCTGCTGTTTTTGATTCTCGAAGTGGAGGCAGGAGAGCAATGTATGAGTCAAGTTTATAAGGAACTGTGATTCATAAAATAATGTTATCGTCAGTCATGACGAGATCAAGAGAGACAAAAAAGATTGGGATGACAGCATTCTGCTGTAGAGCCGAACTCAAAGTCACAAAAACCACTAAGTCTACTAACAAGGCAGCCTTGAAATAATTAGGCACAAAGTTGCCGTCCCTGCCAAATCTTCCAGATCAGGGAGCTGTGATAAATCTCTGTGGGAGAAAATTTGAAGTGGTATTTCTTCCCTGATCTTCTAAATTCGAGTATGGCAACTTAATTGCGTCTGAATGCTAAGCTCGTGTAGTGTTTTACTACTCTGGTGACTCCATGCTGGCAGAATGCTTGCTTCCCTCCGCTGGTGGGGGAAAACCTTTTTATTTGTGGTCTCTGAATCTTTATTCTAGGCTACTCATAAAGCACTGAGATGAGTGATATCATGTGGTCTTCATCAACAAGGGAGCTTTTTGTTATACTTTATAGTCATTTAAATGGAAAGATTAAAGGCCATGACACACAGGCAAGGTTATAGAGACCAATGGGAACTTCAGCTGACAATTTTAACAAGCCCTTGTTTTTTCATGATACTTTTTGTACACACAGAGCACAAGAGGGTCCTGACAATGACAGAATTCAAACTTTAAAAACCCACCTCCAACACTCATATTATTGTTTTTAAAAAAATTCTTGTTCAATAAAGAAAAGCAGTGTGTAGAATGTATTAAATGACAACTTCACCAATGTTGCACAAATCAGCTCACCTGTCAGCACCAGTGAAAACTGTTATATAATGTCATCTGTGGATGATGTAAACAGGGGTTAATAGGCATGTAGGGTGTAATGAAAAGATGCTGTTGCATTACAGGAAAAAGATCCATTGTTTTTGGGAGCTTTATACATAGGAACTAAGAGCCTAAAATCTTTCAGCTTCTATACGTCTCTTTAGAATCCTGCAAACTTTATGAAAGTGAAACATTTTTTCAAGTCAGGGCTTTAATTCAAGTCCTAAAGTGAATTGAAACAAACAACACAGTAGTTGAAAATCATTTTTTAGGATGAGTCAATCTAATGGTCTTTCATCTTCATTATCTAATCATCATCTAATCAACAAATCCCCGATTCATATAATTATACAAAGACTGTCTTGTTCTTACAGCCCATACCCTTCATTATCATTATCACTCCTATCATCATCATCAACTTCTTAACTAAACATCCAAACGCTGAAATCAACACAAAACTCTTCTCTACTTTTGCCATACACTCTCTACAGTCCACCTCATCATCCTCAGCATCGCGACTCCAGTGAATAAATGTTGTCCCTCACAGGGGGGCGCAGGCTAAGTGTTTCTGCTTTCCTTATCTGAAAGGATCTCTATCCTGCTATAACGAGGCACTTGACCTCCCTCGGCGCTCTCCTACTCCCCGGCTGACGCAAAAAAGTGGGCTGGCGAAGCGCTAAGTGCAGTAGTTTAGAGGACTACCGGTGCGCACCGAAACATCACTAGTCAAGCAGACTTCAGTTAGGACGCCTTTCTCGGTTCAGCCGTCTCTCTCGGATGTTATAGGCTGCAAATGCAAAAGACCTTGACGGAGATAACCGGGATGTGTACGGATGTGTGTGAGAAAGACAACACTTGCGTTTCCTCAAAACTTGTAGCAACCTCCTCCATTCAGTAAGTTGAGGGGTTGATGAAACTTTTTTTTTTGTTTTTTTTGAATGAGTATCCCGCCGCTGGCTGGCACATCTGGACTCGGGGACGTCGGACCTGTCAAGTCCAGCGCCAACGTTGAGCCGGACTTCACCTGAACCCACACTCTTCTGTTTTGTCCTTCCTGAACTTTAAGGCGGAATATGAGACTTTAAATTTATTGTCTCTCTATTTTTAAAACTCTTTTCTTTCTTTTTTTTTTTTTTTGCATAATTACAAGGCACAAAATGGAACACTCAACCCTCAGAATAACATGCGTCTTGGTGGTTATCTGTCTCTTGGATAAAAGGTGAGTTGAGTTTAATACGTAATGTCTGATTTTAAACTAAAGGAAAGTTCTAACAGTGTAGGTTCTCTGGTTCTTCATTTTGCAAAACCGTGTTCAACAACTTTACTTTTGAATATATATATTATCCCAGTCTAAATGATTAGTTATCAAGTGAGTGAAATCTGATCTACTTTAACAACATAAAAGTCAGATTTTATTCATGCACATTTTGGTCATAAAGTAAATTGTAAAAAACATGAAGCATTAGTCAAGTTGACTATATATTGACAAGTATATCTCCTTTGCATGCATTCCCAAATAATGTTGCCAATCAATTAAAAGTTGCCCTTTGGAAAGATAGTTGTTGAAACAGGTCTACTGTCAATGCAGGAAACACAACAGGTAGCAACAGAAGCCTAACTGGAATTACAGAATTACACAGTTCAACATGCAATGCCACCTAGAAAGTAGGGCACCACCATGCAAATTAAAAACATTTTATGGGGGCAAGTTGTATTTTTGATTGTAATTAAAGTCCAAAGGTACTATCTGCTTCTTTTTTAAAGAAAGAGCAAAAGGTTGTTGTGAACTTTTAAGTCTTTGATGAAGAGGCTTGCAGAAGAGGTATGTGCAGAAGTTACACGTGTTGTTGAAACTATGGAAATAAATAGTATTCAAATATCCTGCAGCCGTGTGAGTGTCTCTGCGTGTGTTACTGTACACTCCTCCCTACACCTGGTATTTGTGTGTGCATGTCTGGGTGTGCTTGAGCATGTGTGTAAACTGTGTGTGTGTGTGCTGCCACAGCCATACGTGCTCCTGACTTGTGTGTCTCAGTCATACAAACAGTGAGACTCACAACCTGTGTTTTACTTGTAATGATAATGAAAAGAAAAAGCTGGGCACTTAGCAGCTCTCAAGACGTCACCAGGGCAGCCTATGTTTTCCTTGTTATTGCTGTTACTGTTTCTCTGTGAAGTAGAAAAGAGTTTTGACTGCTTTCAGCTGAATTACTGTTGTTCAAGTGATTGATCGACAACAGAAGCAGCAGACAGTCGAGCACAGAGACACACCTTACAGCTAAATAACCTGAATTTGCATGCTTACTAATTTCCTTAGGTGGTTTAACAGTATGAGGAAGTTGCTTTTCCCCTGCTGTGTATCTTAAACTTGTAGTAGAAATATTGGATTCATGCCAACAAAGTAGATGCTGCTCTCTTATCCCCCACTTCAACTCACCTGTGAATGCATAACTATTGTCTTACACAGTTAAGTCACCATCAAAGTGAAGATCAGGAGACAATTTGGCCTAAATTAACTCTAAATGCAAGTACTATTTGTCCCAAGGTTTTGCGAATCCATTTAAATCAGTATGAAGCTCTTTTTTCATATTGGTGAAAACTTTGCCTGATCATGGGTTTGCTGGAATCAACTACACTGAGAACCATTAAGTCATGGTCTCTGTTTGGTACTGTGGGAACTGGGCGTTGGTGTGACACCCAACAGATATTAACAGGAACCTTACATGTCCCATGTAGACTTTTCCGAGAAACAAAAGTGAATAGAACAAAGAGAAAATATTTATGAGTTGTACATTTGTCTTGTCAATAACCTGACCTGTGTGCTCCATGCAGGGTAGACTCCAATGAAATCTTGGGCCTGAAGCTCCCCAACATCGACCCGATCCTGAATGCCAACACGGTGTGTCTGACACTGCCGGGTTTGACACGGCGCCAGCTGGAGGTGTGCATGCGTAACCCAGACGTGACGGCTTCAGCAATCCAGGGAATCCAGATTGCCATCCACGAGTGCCAGCACCAGTTCAGAGGGCACCGCTGGAACTGCTCCAGCCTGGAGACTAGGAACAAAATACCCTACGACAGCATAGTCTTTAAAAGAGGTCAGTTTGTATGGCCACAATGCAAAAATGGCCCTACTATACAATTTCAATTAAATTTACATCTGCCTTTTTTTTTTTTTTTTTTACCATTTTGCTTCTCTTCTATTTACAAATGTAGATTTTAAATGAAATTTAAGAAATGCAAAAAGCCAATTAGAGAAAGCTTAGAAGACACCATTAGGGCAATGAGGTGTAGGCAGCAGAGGTAGTAAAACAATGGAGCACAGACATCCAGTTCAAAAGTTTGGTCTTCAAACAGGCTGTGGTTTAATCCTCAAACACACTTTGATAGAATATCTTGAAAGGATAGGCTCATAAAGATTAGTTGCCACTAAGATACACGTCCTAAACAAGCATTGGTATAATATTATTCTCCAAACACAGTCAAAAGATTATCAGTAGGGATCATTTTACCCCATAGATACAATTGTTAAATGTTATCTCAGTTCTCCAAATGGTTAGGCTATCTCTAGTGACTAGCAGACCGATATCTAGTTTCTAACCACTTTCCTGTACCTCCTCAAAAGTCTGTACAAAAGAGCAGGTAACTTCAAAAGCAGTTAGTCACCTCAAGATTACCAAACTTCATGCAGATCAGTTTTCTCTGACGCTTTGTAGTGCTTCGAGCTTTGCAAGTCTGCCACAAAGGATGAAAGAGGATCTTTCGTGTTGGGAAGCCTTCAGATGGACTCATCCCAGGTTATTGACTGGAAAAGGCATCAATTTCTTATTAGCTAGAGTTCCTGGATGGATGAACAGCGCAGAATGTGGTTGGTAGTTTCAGTCTTCTTGAGTTGATTTTGCTTTCAACTTCACCAAAAGAACAAGAACTTAGTGCTCAAGCTGAATAATTAATAGATTTCTATTCAAAATGTTGCATCCAACGTTTGGAATGACAATCAAGGCTCTACAATGTAGTCAGCAAATTAATTTCTACTGAAGGGACCTTGTTTGGATGAAGAGCATCATATTGCTCTAAGGATGCTTGTTGCATTGTGTATTAATATATTGTAGTCTAGTGCTTTGGCATGACAACATCTATCTGTTGATTTAAGTTTTGAGATTCTAATTTATAAAAAAGTGCAAGGCGTTTTCTTTAAGAATCCTTAGACCGTGGCACTGAATTGTTGATGGAATTCCCCATCATAAAAAACTGATTAAATGTGACAGATCTTTCCTAGAGGGGTGTTGCCATAATTTATGTTCTCCTTAATCTTTATGCAATACAATCATGAAACTCTGGTTTTGTAGCCCTCATTGAGGACTTTATATCCTGACACTTCTGTGGTACTTAAAAAACTCTTAACTACACTATGCTTACACACCTCTGGTCTTACTTTCACTCCTCACTGACTCATTGAAAGGCTGTTTGTCATTATTAGTAGAGGCAGTTGCTGGTTGTCTGGCATCCCTGGTTAGCCCCGGGTGCAGAAACTCCAAACCACTGACATAAACAACCTCTTTAAATTGAATGATTCATCTGTTACATGTTGATACGTTCTGCTCCACAGAAGCTTAAAAATTGATACAAGTTAACATGCTGCAGACATTATTGCGTGCAGCTACTGCAAAAGGGCAGCGGTTTCATTGAGAGATTTACAAACATGGATTAGATAGAATTGTGGAGATTAACACAGGTTTTCAGTGTAACTGCCCCTAAAAAAATAAATAACCTAGTCTTGCACAAGGTTCATTTGCCAAACTGGTATTTTTGCTTTATAATTAATATTGTATAACAACAAGTTCATTTGTTTTTAAAAGCCTGTGAAACAATGTTTACACTATGACACAAAATCTTTCTAGTAAAACTGATGCAAATAAAAAACCTTTGTTCAATGGAACTTAACCTGTCTTAGATACTGTTCAATCTACTGACGTTCTACAAAGTTTTTTGAGTTGTGTATCAGGGGCTCTGCAGCTCAATATTTGTTTTGGTGTCTAATTTTACTACATCCGATGCTGCTCGGATCTTCTCTGGCTCTGCCACGTTATCTCTCTGCTGATGGACTCTGATCATTTTTATGGGCCCATGTTCATTCCCGTTTAACTTGCATTAAAAACTAGGCTAAAGAGGATGCCAGGCAAGACATGGATAGACAGAAATAGGAGAATCTCCCTCTCTTCCTGTCGTTCTTTCTCTCTCTCTCTGTCACTGTGTCTGTGTCCTCCCTTGCTGGGCTGCTCCTAATGCTTTTACTTTCCTTGCCAGTGCAAGTGCTTGTGAATTTGCTCTCAGCACTTTCCCAACTCTCGGCGGCAAAAGCATAAACCTGTTTAGTCGGTTTCTGTAACACAAAGTGACAGTTTCCTTTGAATCTTTAATTCATTTTGTCACTTCCTTTGCCATCAGTTCAGCCGGGCGTGCCGCAGCCGGTGAATTATTTGTTAGATTGATTTGTTCCCAGTCTTCTGGGGACATGCGTCGCAGAGCCTGGCTCAGAGCAGGGCAAGAGCTAAAACAGGCTTTCTACATAGAAAGATGTGCTTAAGTGCCATCTCTCTCACTTTCCCCACCTTGTGTGGGTCAAGCTGGGGGGGGGGATTAGATTGTGAGT